AATATTTAGTGTTTTGTAAGTAGTATGTGTTTTCTGCAACCTTTTCTAATCTTTTACAAACAGTATTTGGTCTTCTTCAATTTTTTTTGTAATAGTTGTCTTCTTTAATGACAAACTGGATTTTGGAGACAATGTAGATAACGTTCTGCATGCTATATGTGGTCTTTGTTAAGTGTCAATCAGGGTTCTTTTAGCAGTATCTTCATTTGTAACCTTTATTCAGTCTTCTGAAAGCAATATTTAGTTTTTTGCAAACAGTATCTGGTCTTTTTCAAGGAATATTTTGTGTTTTGTAAGCAGTATGTGTTTTCTGCAACCTTTTCTAATCTTTTGCAAGCAGTATTTAGTCTGTTTCAAAGAATTTTTGTAAAAATTGTCTTCTTTAATGACAAACTGGATTTTGGAGGCAATGTAGATAACGTTCTGCAAGCTATATGTGGTTTTTGTCAAGCCTCAATCAGGGTGTAGTCTTCTTCCAGCATTATCTTCATCTGTAACCTTTATCCAATCCTCTGAAAGCAATATTTAGTCATTTGCAAACAGTATCTGGTCTTTTTCAAATAATATTTAGTGTTTTGTAAGCAGCGTGTATTCTTCGGCAACCTATTTTAGACTTTTGCAAACAGTATCTGGTCTTTTTCAAGCAATATTTAGTTTTCTGCAACCTTTGCTAATCTTTTGCGAGCAGTATTTAGCCTTTTCCTTTTACAAACAGTATTTGGTCTTCTTCAATTTTTTTTGTAATAGTTGTCTTCTTTAATGACAAACTGGATTTTGGAGACAATGTAGATAACGTTCTGCATGCTATATGTGGTCTTTGTTAAGTGTCAATCAGGGTTCTTTTAGCATTATCTTCATTTGTAACCTTTATTCAGTCTTCTGAAAGCAATATTTAGTTTTTTGCAAACAGTATCTGGTCTTTTTCAAGCAATATTTAGTGTTTTGTAAGTAGTTTGTGTTTTCTGCAACCTTTTTTAATTTTTTGCAAGCAGTATTTAGTCTGTTTCAAAGAATTTTTGTAAAAATTGTCTTCTTTAATGGCAAACTGGATTTTGAATGCAATGTGGATAACGTTCTGCAAGCTATATGTGGTTTTTATCAAGCTTCAATCAGGGTGTAGTCTTCTTCCAACATTATCTTCATCTGTAACCTTTCTCCAATCCTCTGTTAGCAATATTTAGTCATTTGCAAACAGTATCTGGTCTTTTTCAAATAATATTTAGTGTTTTGTAAGTAGCATGTATTCTTCGGCAACCTATTCTAGACTTTTGCAAACAGTATCTGGTCTTTTTCAAGCAATATTTAGTTTTCTGCAACCTTTGCTAATCTTTTGCGAGCAGTATTTAGCCTTTTCCTGGCAGTATTTGGTCTTTTTCAAAGAATTTTTGTAAAAATTGTCTTTTAATGACAAACTAGTGGCAATGTATAACGTTCTGCGAGCTATATGTGGTCTTCGTCAAGCCTCAATCAGGGCGTAGTCTTCTTCCAGTAGCATCTTCATCTGTAACCTTTATCCATTCTTCTGAAAGCAATATTTAGTCATTTGCAAACAGTATCTGGTCTTTTTCAAGTAATATTTAGTGTTTTGCAAGCAGCATGTATTCTTCTGCTACCCATTTTAGTCTTCTGTAAGCAATATCTGGTCTTTTTCAAGCAATATTTAGTGTTTTGTAAGTAGTATGTGTTTTCTGCAACCTATTTTAGACTTTTGCAAACAGTATCTGGTCTTTTTCAAGCAATATTTAGTTTTCTGCAACCTTTGCTAATCTTTTGCAAGTAGTATTTGGTCTTTTTAAAAAAAATGTTGTAAAAACTATCTCCTTTAATGACAAATTGGATTTTGGAGGCAATAGAGATAACGTTCTGCACGCTGTATTTGGTCTTTGTCAAGCCTCAATCAGGGTGTAGTTTTCTTTCAGCAGTATCTTTATCTGTAATTTTTATCCAATCTTCTGAAAGCAATATTTAGTTTTTTCCAAACAGTATCTGGTCTTTTTCAAGTAATATTTAGAGTTTTGTAAGCAGTATGTATTCCTCTGTAACCTATTTTAGTCTTCTGTAAGCAGTATTTGGTCTTTTTCAAGCAATATTTAGTGTTTTCTAACCAGTATAATTCGGACTTAGCCGCAAGACGGCTAAACCCAAATGATTCTAGTTCTAGGTCTTGTGTTAGTTCTAGTGATAGTACTAGTGTAAAACTAGAACTAACACTAGACCTAGAAACATTCGGGTTTAGCCATCTTAAGAGACGTTCGGCTAAACCCGAATATTTCTAGTTCTAGTGTTACTTCTCCTTTTAGTTCAATAATAACATACAACAACTTAACACTGAACAAACCTAGAACTAAAAAGTTTCGGGTTCAGCGTTGTATCTTCAAACGATTTATATGACTTAAAATTATTTTATCCGTTATATTGAGGTTTTACTGTATTAAATAATAATTATTATTATTAATTTTTGATTTAGGTTCTGGTCGAGATTTAAATTGTATAATATCTAGTTTAATACAATTAATATTAGACCCAATTTATCGAACGAAACACGGATTTCAACGTTTAATTCAAAAAGAATGGGTCGTTTTGGGCCATCCGTTTCGAAATCGACTTGGTTTATTAGAAGACTATCAAAACGAACCAGCCCCTTACTTCCTTTTATTCCTCGATTGCGTTTGGCAGCTTTTACAACAAAATCCCCAAGCTTTCCAATTCAACGAAACTTATTTAACCACTTTATGGGATTCGGTTCATGTGAGCATCTTTGATACCTTTATTTTTAATTCTGAGTGGGATCGATTTAAGGTAAAGTTCGACCAAAAATTTTTTGCATTATTTTAATTGTTTTATTTTTTTTTTTAAGTGTAAACCAAATTTGAGAAGTGTTTGGGATTGGCGTCAACAATTTTCTGATAACGATATAAAATTTTTTGAAAATCCTCTTTACGACGATTCGTACAAAGAAAAATTATTTATTAATTACCGGATATCGTCGTTGGATTTATGGCGGCAATGTTACTTGAGATGGTTGCCGATTGTTGAAATTTCAAAGGGTGGTCCGCCGCAAATTGATTTAACCGCGCGATTAATTAAAGCGGAAATTTACGAGATGCAACAAAGAAGGTTAAGCGGTGACGTGGTGCTTCGCTCGCATCTCAAAGATGAAATTTTAACGCTTTCAAGACGAGTAAATTCGTTTTATCCATTTAGTAGACCTGCTAATGAAACCATCCCTGATAACGATTTAGTATCAATGGATGGATTGGATACACAATCTTTACTCAATTTACCAACAACAGAATAATAATTAAACTTGAACGAGTTATGTTGAGGATTGTTGTTGAAGATTTTTGTATTTTTCTTTTTACTAGAGAATAAGAATTTCTAATTTTTAGATAATTCCATCGTTATCCAAGTCAATAATTTTTAATTTTTCTTTGTTTTTTATTTTTAACAGTATTCTAACATATTACCAAAACTAAGAATATAACCGGCAGGTGTGTTTAATATTATTTTTCCGTTTCTTGAGGACTAGAACCAAAAAAGAAGTATAATTTTTGTTTTTTATTTATAAAGTTATTTATGTAACAAAGTGTATTTAATTTAAAACTAAAAATAAAAGAGCAAACTTAACGTTAATATCTTTATTTGTTTTTTTTTTGTATTTTTTTTTACAATGAGTTAGTCGAGTTTAAACCTAAGACATAGACGAAGCAAAAAAATCCTACATCCATATAAAGTTTCGAAAATTAATTAAGGCAAAAATATCATAATAAAGAAAAAACATGTTAAACATAAAACTTTTATACTTACCTTAAAGAAGAAAGAAAAAACCTACCGTTTTTTTGTGTATAAATAAAAACCGTATAAAGCGCAAAAACGAAAAATTAATTAATTCTCTTCATTTTAATTGAGACGCTGTGTGGCAGGAATGCGCTTCCTGCGACGTCTCGTCTGCGTTGCTAACCAATGTTCGTAATGTCTTTCATTCGCCAACCAATCTTGATATTTATACCACCATTCCTCCCATTTTATGTAATCTTCCAAAGTTAAATCTCTTAAATAACCCAGATCTTTGTAATACTGATAACGAACTCGAACGTCATCCCATGCAGCCAAACGAGATGGCCCAGCTGATAATAACTCTTCCGGATAATGACCAGCTGGTACAGGGGATAAACTAAAGCAAAAAATAAATAATTACAAAAATTAATTTCATAAAAAGTTTTAGATTATTTAGGGTGATCTAACAGTTTTGAAAGGTGCTGAATCCGAAAANCATACAGCTAAACACGAATGTTTTTAGTTCTAAGTCTAGTTAGAAGTTAAGTTAGTTCCATAGTTAGTTCAATAGAAATATACAGGTGTTTCAGGTTTTTGCAGCAGGACTTTAACAGTCGATAGATCTTTTAAAATTAGCACAACAACTTCATATAAACATAGGTCGATAAACGCTTTGTTTTGAAGATACAGGTGTCTTCATAAAAAAAATCTAGGCATAAATTGAACGGGGGTTACGTTTAGTAGTTTAGAAGGGTAGGTTGAAAGTACAAATAGGGTTAAAACGTGCCCTATTACGAGTTAAACATATTCCCCAAATTTCATTTTCCTNCGAGATGGCCCAGCTGATAATAACTCTTCCGGATAATGACCAGCTGGTACAGGGGATAAACTAAAGCAAAAAATAAATAATTACAAAAATTAATTTCATAAAAAGTTTTAGATTATTTAGGGTGATCTAACAGTTTTGAAAGGTGCTGAATCCGAAAATGACAACATTTTTTCCGCATCTCAACATAATAATCTGAAACTAACTGGTATGAACATGAATATTGTAGTATTATGGCGACATCTAGCGGAAGAATTGTGGGACGCTCACGTGTAAAATAGTGCAACGACGACCAAGGACAGTTAACGCACGACCACCAACTGAGAAGCATCACCTATTGTGACATAGTTTTAAGTGAAGTCAAACTTTTTAATCATTTGAGTTGTTTTATGTTAATAATATAACATAGTTTAAACATTTTAGTTGTGCTTTATTATAACAAGTGATAATAACACATAAATTGGCGATGAGAACAAAAAAAGAAAACTGAAACAAGTTACAACAGGTGGCATGACGTCATAAGGCACATGGAAAAATCGAGAACAAAAGTGACGTAATCACGAAACAGATTTAACGGACTAAAATGGAAACGCAACAACAAGAAAAACGTAAAAACTTTAATTTTGAAGCTTTTAAAGAAGATCAAGAAGATTTTCATTATTACATACAACTACTTTCAAAGGTAGGATCACAAACTTTTAAATTATTAGTAGATCACTACAGACCAGATAACGTTACAACAAAATCGTACAATGAAAGGTAATGTACAACAAAGAAAAAAAGGTAAAGTAAGACGTGAAGCGAACAAAACAAAAATTAATAATTATTCAGGTAAATTCAGAACAAAAATAAGAGAGAAAAATAATAATAATATGTCATAATAGGGATCTATAGTTCAAGTGGTAATTTCATTATTTGCGTTCCATGCCATATGTGTCAGAGGCGACCGCACCAGAACGTTAGTCCTAGCAATCGGCACGTGATATGTGTTGTTACTTCTAATACCAGGTCTCGGTATAATGAATTCAATTCGAGCAAGAAGCGCAGGCGAGTCGACAGTACAATTGACGATGTTCGATAAAAATTCTTCTCTAATAAAGCATCTTCTCTACGATTGCTCAAAGATGAAAAGGTAAATTCTTCCATTAACGCAACGTAGTCAACTGCGTTGGCTGACTTTACTATAGCGTTAACATGGTCTTTGAATTGCAACTGGTCATCGAATAAGACACCCAAATCTCGAATAGCGCGTTCACTGCGTATTGCTTCAACTGCCACACAATAGTTAAACGTTATTGGGTTATTACACTTCGTGTAAGATACGACAACGCATTTTGCTGTATTAAGATCAATTCCATTCTGTACAGACCAGGAAATGATAATGTTCAGATTACGCTGTAAGATAATACAGTCTTCAGCACAGTGCAGTAAGCAAGCACATTACAATCAAGTCGTCGTAATAGATCATTGCGATAAACATCGAAAAGAAGGGGACCCAGGTTGGAACCCTTTGGAACACCAGAGCCAGCAGTGAAAGTATCAGATTTAAAACCGTTATAGCTCACATAGCAAAGTCTATTGGGAGGTAAGATGAAATTAAATCCACGAAATCATTGATAAATCCAAGACTGCAGAGTTTAGAAAGAAGTATTCCATGATCTAATCTATCAAATGCCTTTGTAAAATCTATGTAAATTATATCAACTTGTTGCCGTTTATTCATGTGCTCGCTGATGAGCTGCGTTACCTCTGCTAAATTAGTCATAGTTGAGCGACCAGTCATAACTCCGTGCTGATGATCAGATATCTGGGTTTCAAAAGAAATGAACCACCTCGAAGAAGGAGACGCAGAACTTCAAAATTACGTAAATGATTAAATTTTCATAAACAAATGACAATATTTATTGATAATATCGTTAATAATGTGTTGCATCTCCGGGTAGTCTTATACATTCAGTAACCCTTCGTGGCATGCTGGAAATCAGATGGTCGATTGCCTCTTGGGGCAGCTTATTCCAGGCTACCCGTAGCTGTTGACGTAATTCCTCTAAAGTGTTGGGAGGATGGGGTAATCGACGCAATTTTCTGTCCATCAGACCCCAGACATGTTCAATAGGGTTTAAGTCCGGGAATCTTGCCGGCCAAGGCAATTGCAGAACATTGTTTTGTGCTAGGAACTCTAACGTTACGTGAGCAATATGAGGTCGCGCATTATCGTGTTGGAAGACGAGCTCTGGAAGGTCTTGAATGAAAGGCACTAACACGGGCTCCAGAATGGCGCCAATGTAACGGCGCGGGTTTAGGGTGCCCTGAATGAATGTCAAAGGAGACCTGCCACCCTGTGGCGACGCTGAACAAACTGTAAATTTTGCCTCCGACCTCTATGTCGTCTGATCCATAAACGTCCGTCAGAATTCCATAAGCAATCGGGATTCGTCGCTGAAGACGATAGTTTCCCATTCATGTTCCCAATGTTGTCGGTTTTGGCTCCACTGCAATCTGGCATCTGTATGTTGTTGAGTCATAGGAAGACGAAAATAAGGACGATATGAACGTAACCCAAATGTGCGTACTCGACGATAAATCGTACTCATAGACACTCTGCGACCAATTGCTCGTATCCAATTGATTGCAACAGCACGCGTTGATTCTACTGGGTCTTGTATTGCACTTCGCATTAACAGCCGATCTTCGCGTGCTGCTGTCACTCTAGGACGTCCACTGCCTCTACGACGGGTTTCTAAGCGTTCTTCCTGCCAATCCATCCAAGTCCGTCTGATAGTGGCGTGAGATCGGCCCATGCGTCTGCCAATTTCCCGAAAGCTTAAACCAGCCTCATGCATCCCGATAATTCGTCCTCTTTCGAAGGGCTTAAGATGGCAAAAATTTGCACGTCTTCGAACTCGTGGAATTTTTGAGACACTAACTTTACTAATGCAATGACAACAACGGCGAACTATTCCGAAAAATACTATTCAACAACACGCAATTTCAGGACCTAAAAGACAGATAATTTCACTAACTGACTAATTGATTCTATATAATTTCAAAGTTCTTCGCCTACTCCTACGGGATGGTTCATTTCTTTTGAAAAGCAGAATGTATGGGCGAACACAGTAGTTCATCCTGGAGTATAGCAACATCTCGAAGACCTTTGAGCAATTGTACAAAATGCTAATAGGTCGGTATTTTCAATACTAAATCTGTCTCTCTTTTTAAAAACCGGCGTTATCCGAATTTTTTTCCATATTACAGGAAAGGTTTTAGTTTTTAAGCATAAATTAAATATAAAGGTCAAAGGTCTGCTGAGGAAGGATGCACAATATGTAATAATAAAACTTGGGAGGTCGACGTCGTCAGCGATAAAGTGATTTTTTAATCGTTTGATACAGATTTCTACCTCCTCGGCAGAAAATGGAGTAATGTAGAAGAATCCAGCACAGTTGACTTGCTGGTTACAGTTACTGATAGTTGTAAGTCCAGGTTTGAAGACTTCAGAAAACAAGACAGAGAAGGCCTGCACTATTCCCAAAGCACCAGAGATCTTACAACCAGCAAATGTCATACAGTCTGGAATACGCGAATTACCATATTTCTGATTTACGTAACGCCAGAAAATTTTGGGGTCGGTGGATATACAATTTTCGGTATTCACGAGATAAGCCTGATAATCAGACCCTATTGCATCCTTGGATAAACGACGCAACCTAAAATATTCATCGTAATATGATAGTTGTTTAGATCTTTTCCACTTCTTAAAGTAGTGCTTTTTTACTTTCAATAGACGTTTAATGCTTCCAGTAAACCATAAAGGAAATTTCGACGGCGATAAGCAGTATTTGGGTACATGTTTTTGAATAACGTTATACATAGATGTTATAGTAACATTTTTGCACAGCACTATTAATATCCGAGCACATCAATATATCAGACCAGACAACATCACCAATATCATCATCAGAGCGTGGCGAGTTTAGCTTACGCGTCCCCAACCACACGAAACAACTTGTTCGGCAATGGCAGACAGTGGCGTGGTGTTCCCACTGGTTATAACTGTACAAGATCTGTAATATTCGACTTACGACGATAAAAATAGGACACGCTA